GACTCGAAATCTGAAATCTGATCTGGGGAGAGCGAGCTCAAACCGGTTCCTAATGCCAAACGGCCACTCCGTCGACAGCTGCCATATTAAGAGATACTAAGTTTAGACTCGAGACGGAACGCCATGTGTGTTATGTGGACCGAAAAAAGGCCTCCAGACACCAGAGGAAGTATTCATATCCTGCACTGCTGTAAAAGTACACGTAAAAACAACTCTAAAGATACACAGGAAATTAGGTCAAGGTATTAAAAGTTGAAAAATGTCCGACGTGGCTCGGATATACAGTATATTGAATTATTGCATCATTATTTAACATAATGATAAAGAAGCGGCTGTAGTTAGTTGAGGTGGAACACATTTTTAACTATAATGATTATTTATAGACACTTTTTCTGACAGTTTTGCACTACTGTATATATTTGTACTGTTGAAATAATGAGTGTAGCTCACTAGACTAGACTAAAACCTGTGGACGTTATTCTTTTGAATATTTACCGTCAGCTTTTATTTCTACCTCTAAATGTGTGTATATGAACTTTGGTAACACTTTATTTTAAGGTACACATATTCGCCATCAACTAGTTGTTCATTAACATCATATCATTAGCAGTATATTGGCTCTTTATTAGTCAGTATAAAACACGCCTTGTTCTACATGACCATATTCTACAAGTACTAGGCCGTTAGTTAAGAGTTTGTCCTCAATAACCCTCTAATGAGTGCTTATTTATTGTAAGTAAGGACGTTGTTGTGCATGAGTTACGGTTAGGGCTGCTCAATTAATCGTATTTTAATCGCAATTATGGCTTGCAACGATTACGAAAACAACGTAATCGAAATAAAACTTTTTTTTTTTTTCAGTTGAATTTTACTTAAAGTTCAGGGTAATCAACTGTTAAAAACATACTGTTCACATTTTTTCTCCAATAAATGGATGTTTTCAAAGTAAATAGATAATAGTTTTTAATAATCGTGATATCAATTATTGACCCAAATAATCGAGATTATGATTTTTGCCATAATCGAGCAGCCGTACTGTATGTTAAGAGTTTTCAGGTTGTGACAGTGCACTGCAACATGTTTGTTGATCTTGTTTATTGGTATTTATTATTTTTGATAGATATGAATGTATAATTTATTTTATTTTGTATTGGTTTTTCAGTTGATTACCCGGAACGTATAATTCAACAGTTAAAAAGTTCAAATTATTATATGTATTTGTTTTAAAGTACAATAAATGGATGTTTTCAAAGTCAATGAATAATCGCATTTAATAATCGCAATTACAATTATTGACCCAAATAATCGAGATTATGATTTTTGCCATAATCGAGCAGCCCTAGTTTTGGTCTTAATATGCTCAATAAGGCATTCTTTCATAATACCTAACAAATATGAAATATTATAACTACAAGTGTTAATTGTGTCAAAATAACTCAAAATGAGGTTTTTCTAACTCAGAATAAGTTCCCTATTTTAAAGTGAAGTCTTGTTCATAACCAATAAGCTAGTAGTTTGACTCTAATGTGTAAATTAACAACTAGATGACGGTGAATATGTGTACCTTAATCTAAAGTGTTTCCTGAACTTTTTAACATGAAGCGAGATTACACATAAAAGAGTTCTAATAACAATCGTATTTTAAGATATGTGTACACAACTCCTGTGAAGTCAAACGACATGGTCCTTTTATCCTATAGAGTGATGATAATAACATTTAATATTTAATAATATTTGAACTTTTATACAAGTGGTTTTATAGGAAGATCCCTCTGAGTTATCAAAGTGGCAGTGCATTGAGTCACATTGATTTTAGTCGCATAATTGTCACTTTACGCTGATATTTGAACAACCACCATGGATGTTTTTAAAAATGCTCATTTATTTTATATTCAGGTGGTAGTTGTATACATTGGCAGCTTGTAAAACCTAAATAGGATGCTGTAGACTGAAAAACAACCCTTTATTAATCAGAATTCGTCGTCTAATTAACACCAAAAATGAATTTTCCATCCATGACTCTGAAGCCATGTTTGGGGACAATCACCATTTTTATATTTCTTATTGAAAATCACAAAAAATCTGCATTAATTTCCTCGCGTTCGGCTTTCATTTCTTTATTGAGCAGCATAAAATAATTGTGCCGCACCGTCGGGGGTCCAGAGGGAATGATTTCTGACAAAAACTTGACTATTGCCCATGAAGCCACAACTGTAAACTAATCAGTTTTAAAATGTTACTTTCATACCGTATATGTGTGTATATGTGTGTGTGTGTGTTTTGTGTTCACACTTCAATGTGCTTTAATACTCTGAGAGTATGTGGTTTTTCCTCCCATTTCACTGTTGTGACCGGTGCTTCTGCTGCATTTTTAATCTCAAATAACGTTTATTGTCAAAATAGAAGCTTAAAGTACGGTGGCCGACAGGAGCGAATATGTGTACCTTAATCTAAAGTGTTACCGTATATTTGTGTCTATGTATATATACATTCAGATTTCGATCCCGCTGTCTGTGTAACACAAATAGAGGCAATGATTTTTGACTAATGCTTATTCTGCTGATTATTTTCTCCATTATACCAATTGTTTGTTTTGTAACAGTAGTACAAATAGGGAGACATTTAGACACAAATCAGACCAAAGTGACACCTTCACCCTGTGTGTTAAGTGCAAACGTCAAATAAGATATTAACATTTTTAACATTAACATAACTAAAGGTATTAAATACGTGTATTGGAGTAAAAGTACAAAGCAGCATAACATCGAAATACTCAAATATAGTACAAGTATCTCAAAATTGTATTTAAGTACAGTACTTGAGTACATTTACTTAGTTACTGCACCTCTAATAAAAAGTCAAATGTTAACACCGTTCACTTTAATGCATGAAGCTTTATCATAAACACGACTTAAAGGACGATATATTTATAAATATGGATGTCAAGATATCAAATAGTAGTAAATCATAACTAAAGCATTCTTGGTGTTTTTGTACTTTTAAAGGGAACCTATCATGCAAAATGCACTTTTTGATGTCTTTTATACATCAAACATGTATCCCCGGTGTGTCAGGGAACTCACGCAGCGTCAGAAAATAAAACCCTCTCTCTTTTCCTCCGTACCCAAATCTCTAAAAACGGGCTACAACGGAGCTGATCCAGATTTGCGTCCGATATGACGTAATATCTGAAATGTGGACCCACGGGCCAATCAGAAAGTTGCTATCAGAAACAATGCCCGACTGTTTTGGACGTAATATGGTCGGTGTTTACATTAGCATCGCTAACACTCAGAGCTAACCTGTACTGGAGAGCATGTGTGTGAAGAAGCAGGAAGTAAACAGGAACTCACCTTGTGGTATAACCGGCAAGAGAGAAAGCCTTTGAGCTCCAGACTGTTTCAGAGAGAATCCTTGATGTGGTGTTTCATCACGGCAGCATTTAGTTTAGACAGTAGCTGCCGGGTCCCGCATGAGCTCAGACCCCTTTTTTATTAAAGCTTTATACCAGAATCATCACTTTTGAAACAGGAAGTGAAATAGAGGGATATGAGGCATGGCTAGAATGGGTGATCTGTTTGGTATTTTGAGCAAAACACTTCATTGACATGTTTTTTATATATGTTTATATATCTGAGACCTGTGCTATTGCCTAAAGATAGCATGATAGGTGACCTTTAATGTGTGCACATCCAACACCAGGGGACAGGAAACACACAAAAGTAAAATACCAGCAGACTTTAGAGAAGTTCCTTTGCTGGTTTATTTCAAAACTTCAATTGTCTGACATGAGTCCAGATACAGTTCACCGTGATCCCTCCGAAACTCTAGAGTTACACACCATCAGTCTTCAAAAACAACACACAGGTGAAAATTAAACAAAAGAACATTTCTGTGTTTCAATACAGAGATATGCAGCATGAGGTTTGGTCTGAATAACCACAGACGCTTCGTTACATCAGCCTGAATATTCATGTTTCATCATAAAGCATTAAAGGTGAATTTCTCTCAGCATCATCACACTTTCTTAAAGATGTAACAAGTAAATGAAACCAAAATACAGAATAATTACACATTCAGCATCACATAAACGTGACAGACTATCAAAATACAAGTCCCACAAGTCTTTATATAACTAGAAAACATATATTTTGCTCATGCAAGAAAGTAGACATAGGGTGAGTTGCCCTAATGTGGGACACTCTTTTTGCTTTAAGCCTAATGTGGGACACTTGTTTGAAGGTTGCTCCACCCTCATCTGTGATTGGACATTTGAGAAGTGATGTGATTTTGATCGCAGCTTGTGTTAACCCATAGTTTCATTCGGCGCTTTCACACCGCAGTACTTTTCCCACAAAGGTTCATGAGAACTCTTAAGTTCTCATGAACTAAGTACAGATCGCGTTCACACTGGAATAAGTTCCTGGGGGAGGATTAGACAAATAAAGCCGCTGACGTCACTTCTTCTTCTGCTTTGAGTTTACTGGCAGGGCGAAAACAACTTCACGGCGTATACTGACGCCCGAAGTCCCCGGCAGCTTCTACTGAAGCCTTCAGAGTAAATCGCCAGAACGCCGACACCTCCTCATCTCCGCCGCTCCCATGTTGTCTTTTGTGTTGCCATAAGTTAGTCTCTCTGCGTTTGTGCGCTGGGATAATGCTAATGCTAATAATGCTAATGCGAGGATAATAAAATGGCGGCTTCACAAAACTTGTTGGGAGTTTTACGGGGCGTGGTTTGCCAAATGTCCTTTCTCTTCAATATTGCTTATGGTAAACATGATGGGAAATGGACGATGTTTACCGGCTTAGATCAAATAAATTAGCGCTTCAATATCAGCCTGAAAATCGTTACAATTTCCCGTGTTTTGTGGTGGATATTACGAAACACTTAGCAGTTATTTAATTCAACACTAGCTGATTTGAACACAAGGTAACAGGGCCTCTTTGCATAACTGGTCATGCAGATATTCTTATCAAGAGGAAAAGTAATTTGGACGAATTGTTAATGTCAGTGTCTCCAAGTGAAGAGGAGTCAATGGAAAACTGGACATTTATTTTGTTCTGCAGCAGTAGATGTCAATTTACTACACGTCATTAAGTATCACATCCGTTTCTAATTCAGAGCGCTTTGTGGTGTTTTTTGTACCCCAATTTGCTCACAATTGTCATCTGTTCACAAATTCGTACCCAATTTCGCCGTAAAGCGTCGAACACAGACTGATGATCAGCGCAGCTAAACGTGATGAAAACTGACAGTGAACATGATTGTGTGCATGTGACTGGACAGAAGAGGAATGACAGTTTTTACAGTTAATTAAAACATGATTCATCCTTTAGAGCTGCACCATCTATCAAATAAGTGCCTTTTTGCCACACATCTTTAAGAGTGACTTAAGAGGCTTTCAGACGGAGATATTAAATCATTAAATTGAAAACGAACAATTTAAACGTTATCCTTATCCTGCAAATAATTTAGAATATAGGGTTTGATGGTTTAAAGGTGAAACGGGTCCAAAAACTTGTGTTATCTTTCACCAGAGAAAACATCTTAGTCTGAAAGCCACAAAACAAGAAAAATACCTACAAAAACACAAAGAAATAACTGCAAACCGATTAACTTAATGACAAGCCTATAACAAAATCTTCAAACCAACCGAGTTTATTACCACAAAGAAAAAAGACGCATCACTTTGTACGAGCAAAACAAACGTCTGGTCATTTATTTATCCTTTATTTGACCGTTTGTGTGGGACATATGTCTCTAGGTGAGCGTAGAAACTTCAGGATATTAAAGATAACCAGTGTAGAAAACATAAGGATTTGGGCATTATTTTAAAGAGGAGACTCTGGTGTTTTTGTTTGGCTCATACAACGTGATTCACAGACTGTAGATCCAAGTTTCAACAGTACATTCAACAGTTTATTGTTTTTAGGGTAAATCGACAACCCGAATCCAATAAACAAATAAAACATTAAGGTTAAAGGTAATTTCTGAAGGATTGTGTTTGGCCACGTTCAATTTGAATCCTTACATGTGCAATATTTTAGTTATCAATACAGGAGAGCGGGTGTATTGAATTCTTTGGACCTCAAATTTTTTTGGAATATTCTGTTTCTTGCAACAAAAGAAAAAGCAGAACATTATGAAATTCAGGTTGTTTTTTTAGTTTCTCTCGAGCTGCAGGAAACAGGGAATGCTCAGATGTTCCTCAAACAAACAAAACACAAACAAACCTCGTCTGAAAGTTTCACAAACAGCCCACTTTTTTTTTTTTTTTGACAGTCAGATGATATATATGTTTTTTAACCCAGATGAAATAAACCAATCACAGCGAGCCGTCGTCCAAATAAGGAAGTGACATCACTGAGCAGGCTGTTTGAAGACGATGACGATGAAGAAGCTGGAAATCCTTCTCAGTCTGACTTCTTGTCGCTTGTTGCCTGCAGACAGAGAACAGGGCGGGAAAAAACAGTCAGTTTGGCCGATGTTTGACGATTTTAAAGAAAGGTAAATATTGGGATAATTTTAACCGATTTAAACTCTTACATGTTAAAAATTCAGAAACTATATAAATGTTACGTGCCGTTTGAGTAGTTTCAAACACTGCTATACAAATAATGATGTTATCATGTTATAAAACACTCAGTATAACACCGATGTTAAAAATAGGTTTGGGGGTTTTCTCTTGGCTGCAACGACAACATTTGTTTTGCTTCCGTCAGTCTGAGTGTGCACCTGTTAGAGTGTGTGTGTGTGTGTGTGTGTGTGTGTGTGTGTGTGTGTGTGTGTGTGTGTGTGGAGTCTGGTAACCTATAAACCAAGTTGTGTGTGTGTTGGGGGATTTTAAAACAGCTATGACATCATCTCTCAGTGCAACTAACTTCGAGGTATGTTACATAACTTTATGTTCGGTGTGTTTGTATAAGCAGCAGCTGGTCCACCTCTAACCTGCCTGTCCGGACACACACTTTATCTCTGTCATTGTTTTGCATATCAAGATGTAATACCTTTAAACTTGAATATAATAAAAACAGTGTAACCTGATCGAGTTGTTTAGGTGACGCATAATGTTCAACTATAAATAAAAACTTACAACCAGCTTTCTACAGGGATTCTGGTTACATATAAATCAAGTTTAAACACACGTGTAAGTTTTAATGTGAGTGAGTGAGTGTGTGTGACTGTGAGTGAGTGACTGTGTGTGAGTGAGTGACTGTGTGTGTGTGACTGTGTGTGACTGTGAGTGAGTGACTGTGTGTGAGTGAGTGACTGTGTGTGAGTGAGTGACTGTGTGAGTGAGTGACTGTGTGAGTGACTGTGTGTGTGTGAGTGAGTGACTGTGTGTGAGTGAGTGACTGTGTGTGAGTGAGTGACTGTGTGTGAGTGAGTGACTGTGTGTGAGTGAGTGACTGTGTGTGAGTGAGTGACTGTGTGTGAGTGAGTGACTGTGTGTGAGTGAGTGACTGTGTGTGAGTGACTGTGTGTGAGTGACTGTGTGAGTGAGTGTGACTGTGTGTGTGAGTGACTGTGTGTGAGTGTGTGAGTGAGTGACTGTGTGTGAGTGAGTGACTGTGTGAGTGAGTGACTGTGTGTGAGTGAGTGACTGTGTGTGAGTGACTGTGAGTGAGTGAGTGACTGTGTGTGAGTGAGTGACTGTGTGAGTGACTGTGTGTGAGTGACTGTGTGTGTGTGTGAGTGACTGTGTGTGTGTGAGTGACTGTGTGTGTGTGAGTGACTGTGTGTGTGTGAGTGACTGTGTGTGTGTGAGTGACTGTGTGTGTGTGAGTGACTGTGTGTGAGTGAGTGACTGTGTGTGAGTGAGTGACTGTGTGTGAGTGAGTGACTGTGTGTGAGTGACTGTGTGTGAGTGACTGTGTGAGTGAGTGACTGTGTGTGAGTGACTGTGTGTGAGTGTGTGAGTGAGTGACTGTGTGTGAGTGAGTGACTGTGTGAGTGAGTGACTGTGTGTGAGTGAGTGACTGTGTGTGAGTGACTGTGAGTGAGTGAGTGACTGTGTGTGAGTGAGTGACTGTGTGAGTGACTGTGTGTGAGTGACTGTGTGTGTGTGTGTGAGTGACTGTGTGTGTGTGAGTGACTGTGTGTGTGTGAGTGACTGTGTGTGTGTGAGTGACTGTGTGTGTGTGAGTGACTGTGTGTGAGTGAGTGACTGTGTGTGAGTGACTGTGAGTGAGTGAGTGACTGTGTGAGTGACTGTGTGTGAGTGACTGTGTGTGAGTGACTGTGTGTGTGTGTGTGAGTGACTGTGTGTGTGTGAGTGACTGTGTGTGTGTGAGTGACTGTGTGTGTGTGAGTGACTGTGAGTGACTGTGAGTGAGTGACTGTGAGTGAGTGACTGTGAGTGAGTGACTGTGTGTTTGTGACTGTGAGTGAGTGACTGTGTGAGTGACTGTGTGAGTGACTGTGTGAGTGACTGTGTGAGTGACTGTGTGAGTGACTGTGTGTGAGTGACTGTGTGAGTGAGTGACTGTGTGTGAGTGACTGTGTGTGAGTGAGTGACTGTGTGTGACTGTGTGTGAGTGAGTGACTGTGTGTGAGTGAGTGACTGTGTGTGAGTGAGTGACTGTGTGTGAGTGAGTGACTGTGTGTGAGTGACTGTGTGTGAGTGACTGTGTGTGAGTGACTGTGTGTGAGTGACTGTGTGTGAGTGACTGTGTGTGTGTGTGTGAGTGACTGTGTGTGTGTGAGTGACTGTGTGTGTGTGAGTGACTGTGTGAGTGACTGTGAGTGAGTGACTGTGAGTGAGTGACTGTGAGTGAGTGACTGTGTGAGTGACTGTGTGAGTGACTGTGTGAGTGACTGTGTGAGTGACTGTGTGAGTGACTGTGTGAGTGACTGTGTGAGTGACTGTGTGAGTGAGTGACTGTGAGTGACTGTGTGTGTGTGTGTGTGAGTGACTGTGTGTGTGAGTGACTGTGTGTGTGAGTGACTGTGTGTGTGAGTGACTGTGTGTGAGTGACTGTGTGTGTGAGTGACTGTGTGTGTGAGTGACTGTGTGTGTGAGTGACTGTGTGTGAGTGACTGTGTGTGTGTGAGTGACTGTGTGTGTGAGTGACTGTGTGTGTGAGTGACTGTGTGTGTGAGTGACTGTGTGTGTGAGTGACTGTGTGTGTGAGTGACTGTGTGTGAGTGACTGTGTGTGTGAGTGACTGTGTGTGAGTGACTGTGTGTGTGAGTGACTGTGTGTGTGAGTGACTGTGTGTGTGTGAGTGACTGTGTGTGCGTGAGTGACTGTGTGTGAGTGACTGTGTGTGAGTGACTGTGTGTGAGTGACTGTGTGTGAGTGACTGTGTGCGTGAGTGACTGTGTGCGTGAGTGACTGTGTGCGTGAGTGACTGTGTGCGTGAGTGACTGTGTGCGTGAGTGACTGTGTGCGTGAGTGACTGTGTGCGTGAGTGACTGTGTGCGTGAGTGACTGTGTGCGTGAGTGACTGTGTGCGTGAGTGACTGTGTGCGTGTGTTACCAGCAGTTTGCTGTGTTCGTCCAGCAGTCGGTCGTACTCCACCGTCAGATTCTTCGCCTGACTCTTCATCGCACGAACGTCACTGTCCGACTTCTGCAGAGCTGCAGAACATAAACACAGAGGGGGGGTTAAATAAGTACTATTACTGCAGTACGTTATTTAAGTACAGCGTTGAGGTACTTTATCTGGATATTTTAATTTTCTGATACTTTATACTTCTACCCCGCTACATCTCACGGGGGAATATTGTATTTTTTTACACCAGAACATTTATCTGGCAGATGATTTTAATACATCAGACATATAATCAGTATTGTTATACAACTCCCTTTCATTAATTTTACAAATTTAATTTCCAATGTATTCCTTCTTCCATTTGCCTCCTTTTCCTTTATTATACTCCTTTTATTTTATTCCTATAGATGAGAGCAACGGTGACGTCACTTCCGGGAGAAAACACGGGCCCGCCCACTTCCGGGAGAAAACACGGGCCCGCCCACTTCCGGGATAAAACACGGCCACGCCCACTTCCGGGATAAAACACGGCCCCTCCCACTTCCGGGATAAAACAAAGCATCGGCACGAAGCGGAGAACTAAAGTTGCTTCATGCTCAAACATCAAATCAAAAGTAAGGTTTTTCTGTAAGACAAAAGGACAGTAAAAGAAGCGATCTGTGGCTGGAAGGTATCGTGACTTTTTTCACTTTGACCGTATATCGAGCCCAATCTCCAATGATGTCATGTATCCATAATTCTACTCTCTTTATCCATATACACTTATTTTTCTCCCATCTTCCTCACCTTTCTTGTTGTTATCCAGCTCCTCCTTCAGAGTCTTCACCTCCTCCTTCAGGTTCTTGTTCTCCTCCACCGGTCCGGCTCCCTTCTTCCCGACCTCCGGCAGATCGAGACCAGCGTCACGGAGTTTCTGTTGAAAGAGAAAAAACACCAGAAAAATGTTTTAAAATAACAAAACGTAACCCATGATAAAATGGAAAATAACTCGAAGTAAGGGAATTCATTTCAGTGGATTTTTCAGAAGATTGAATGAATTATTACATATTTTAACTAGGGCTGTCAGTCGATTAAATATGGACAATCATGCGATTAAATATTTTAATCGCAAATTAATCGCACATTTTTTATCTGTTCTAAATGTACCTTAGAGGAATATTTTTCAAGTTTTTAATACTCTTATCAACATATGAGTGGACAAATATGCTTTATGCAAATGTTTATTATCATTTGAACAATGACAAATATTCTCATGAATATTAAACGCAACAACCTCTGAACATTACAAATATTCGCCTCAATTCAACCTGGAACCTCTCTCATACAATAATACAATACAAATGGTGTGTGTGGGTGTGTGTGTGTGTGTGTGTGTGTGTGAGATGGATCGTTGGAGCTATGTGCAACTCAAGGCATATGCTCGAACGGGAGCTGCAATCATGTTGCGCACTATCCGTGCTGAGTGTGCTGCCTTCTCGTACAATGTCCCACTGTCTGGCTGCCTGCATAAAGTCAAGTGCTCGGCGCAGTTGTCGGCGAAATGTCACTCCTCTGTTTTCATTTAAGCAGCTCCTTATATCCGTTAGCGCAGCTAGCTAGCACCAGATGCTAACAACAACAATGCACGTAAGGTCTCTCTCTCGCTCGGGCCACACATACACACACCCTCCCGGTCCTCCCAACAGCCAGTCGGTGCCTGCCGGTGAGCGTGGAAGTGTGGTCTGCCACAAGCGGGCGGCAGGAGCGGGGCTGTCAGCATCAGCTTGTAGATGGTATTTTAAACTCGATGCGCTCTGAAACTACGGGGCGGCCGAGGAAAAAAAAATACATATGCGTTAATCGAGTTAAAATAATTAGTGGCGTTAATTATTTTTTTCGTTAACGAGTTATTAACGCGTTAACTTGACAGCCCTAATTTTAACAGATCACAACTTTAGATATTTTAAAACTGTATTTAATGGGAGTGGATGCGAGATACAGCTTTTAAATTGAGATATAAGCACCTTCCAATCCTTACTTGAAGTGACAGTTCTAAATTGGTTTAGTTCCTACTTAAAAGGACAGAAAAAAACGTGCCTCAATAGGCAACTACACATCAACCCTGATAAATATGTCATGCGGGGTTCCTCAAGGCTCCATCTTAGGACCGTTGCTTTTTAATATCTACATGCTACCTCTGGCTCAAATTATTAAAAACAACATCTAAGCTATCACATCTATGCAGACGACACCCAGATTTATTTTTAAATTACACCGGGAGACTATTCTCCGATTAGAACTCTGAGCACATCACTGACTGGATGACTCAGAACTTTCTCCAATTGAACAAACAAAAAACTGAGATCATCGTTTTTGGAGCAAAGAAGGACCGATTAAAAGTAATCACAGAGCTTCAGTCGGCAGACTACAAAGTAACTCACAAAGCTAGAACTCTGGGTGTAGTGATGGACTCAGACCTGAATTTCAATAGTCACATTACAAGTTATTAAGTCTGCTTATTATCACCTGAAGAATATATCAAGGATTAAAAAACTAATGTCACAGCAGGATTTAGAAAAGCTTGTCCATGCTTTTATCTTCAGTAGACTCGACTACTGCAATAGTGTCTTCACAGGGCTCACAAAAACATCCATCAGAACGCTGCAGCTGATTCAGAACGCTGCTGCTCGAGTCCTCACTAACACTAAAAGAGTGGATCACATCAGTCCGGTTCTGAAGTCTTTACACTGGCTTCCAGTCGGCCAAAGAATTGATTTTAAAGTATTATTGCTAGTTTTTAAATCATTACATGGTTTAGGACCAACGTATATTAACGATCTCCTGCATAATTATGAACCATCAAGGTGCCTCAGCAGCCCCGACCCAGAAGACCTATCGGTTCCGAGAGTAAAAACAAAACATGGAGAAGCAGCGTTTAGATATTATGCCCCGACAATCTGGAACAAACTGCCCGAATCGTGCACGTCTGCAGAAACTCTTACTATTTTCAAATCGAGACTGACAACATATATTTTTGCTGCTGCTTTTAATTGAGCTGATCATATTCGCACTGCAGTATGCCTTTTATTCATGTATTGTATACCTGTTTATTATCTTTGATTTGTAATGCCTGTTGTAAAATGCCATTATATAATGTGTTTTTACTGTATTTATTCTTAAAATGTCTTTTAATTTATTTTGTAAAGCACTTTGAATTGTCGCGTGCTGAAAGGTGCTGTATAAATAAACTTGACTTGCCTTACTGTGTGTTGTGGATATGAGTTTGTTGTTATTATCCTTACACTTTTAATTAAATCTTATCTTCAGACTTCTGCTGCACGACAATTACCCTCATGATAAAATGTCCAATATACTCTCTTGTCTTACAAACATCACATGATAAAGTAAAATCTACAGTAAAACCGACGAGGTCATAAACCTGTTAAATCAGATATGAAGGAATTTAAACTGCTGCTGTGGACATGTGTTTCTGTTTTGACTCCACCCACTCAGACGAACAGGTGGTCATACCAAACACTCCTCATCAGCACTGACCTCAGATCAGCAGCTGCTCTCGGAGTTTACACTGCGAGAAACAAAACCCTGCTCTCTGATTGGCTGTAAATACAGTGTTCAAGTTACAATTAAATAAACAAGTGTTTGTTTGTAGTGGGGGTCAGCAGAGGGTATGAAATACTATAAAACTGAAATACTATAAAACTGTCATTATCTGTGGCGGTTTATAATATAAATAAAACACATTCTAATATACGTTTTAAAAATATAATAAGAATGGTGTTATATACAGTACACCCACATAATAATTGAAGTATATCAAAACTCGAATACACAAAATGTCTAAATACCCTACTTGCGCTCCTATTGGCTAGCGCTCCAACACATTGTACGCGATAGGCTAAAGGGGCGGGACATCTCTAAGAGGTTGACCAATCACAACAGAGCCGGCCAGCTAACCAATGAGAGCAGACTGGGCTCTGGTTTCAGACAGAGGGTGAAAAGGGCAGCATGAGAACAATAAAGAGCTTTTTGAACATGTGTTGGTACCAGAGGTCGCGTTAACCGAATATTTTCCGTCAATGACGGATTTTTTCTAACAATGACGGAAAAATCTGAAAGCAGTCCGTAATTTTGACGGATTAGAACACAACTTGGAACAGCGCCAAAATATCCACCAGCGGCCCACGTTATATTACATCCTTAGGGGCCAGGTCGACTGAGGGCGATCTACTGTACTCTACTGTAGTCTGTAACTATTATTTAGTCATTCACACCCCTGTCCAGTTGGTGGCGAGTGTGTGCATATTAAGTAGCTATTGTCTAGTCTTGTTTTTGACCTCGTTGTTTAACCGGCTTTAGCAATCGCAAAATATCACGGCAGCTGATCGTCCGAAGCTTTTTTAATAAGCCCAGTAATTGTGATGGTGCGGATAAACGAGGTGAAAGGAGGGATTGATGCGGTGGAGGATTAAGGACAAGCCAGTAAGACTAAGACTGACAACGTTCAGCCAGCGGCAGAGGGACAAACAAGTGGCAAGGAGTTCAAGCGGGGAGTACCGGGTTCAGTGGGAGCAAGAGTGGCTGAGGAGAGAAGATGGCAAAATGTTCTGCGACATCTGGAGAGAAGCTAAGATGAGTAACGGATTTGTCCGAGGGTACACGACGATGCAGAGATCAGCGTTCAGGCTACAGCAGGTCAATTGAGTTGTTCTTGTAAATGTTTTGTTCATATTCTGATTGTAACCGTCTCATTTAAAACGATGGCATTGTTCATATTTGCCTGTTTAGGCACAATGGTCGTGGTGTTTTTAGCGGCCTCTGCCCCCCTCTGCTGTGCCGTCAGTGCAGGAACAAATAAATCATTCATGTTCGTGTTGACATGAAAAGTGACCACACGGTCGGTGTCTCTGTTCATCTTTTTGTTTCTCCATGCCCTTAAAAGTTCTGTATGAATCATTAAATGAATGAACATTTGCTGCTCAGTACCCAAACATACATATTAAATAGGTCTCATCTCATCATTAAAACTCTTAAAAAAACAACGAAAAAGTCTAACGCAACCACTGGTTGGTACTGAAGTAGTTATTTTTAGGGTATTTAGTTAGGGGTTTTTAAGCTTGTAATTGTTTCTGTATAATACGTGAAAACGCTCCAATTCTATAAGATATATTTTACATACTTTGTTTAGTGTCTGGTCCATGATTCTGAAGCTTCACAAAGCTTATAAGGGTGTCCCATTTCACATATAACTATTCGGTCATATGATTGTATTTCAAACTTACACACATTTTGTCTCACTACATTTCTCAGTCAGACCAACATCTGAACGCAGTGGCATCATGGGTAAGCAAAGAGCTGTATTTTTCAGAAGTTTTGAAACACATCCTCATTTTCACACCGTTTCTTCTTCTTTTCTGCTCTTCATTTGTGTCTATTTTAGTTTCGTTTTACAGTAGTGACATTAAAACTTCTCCATGTCGGGACTTCCAGAGTTTTGAGGGTTTTGTATTTTTCCAAAACACTTTTCTTCCTCTTGTTATTGGTCACCTATTATAATGAGCATTGTGTGTGTGTGTGTGTGTGTGTGTGTGTGTGTGTGTGTGTGTGTGTGTGTGTGTGCGTGTGTTTGTCTGTGCCCGTGTGTTTGTGTGTGTGTGTGTGTGTGTGTGTGTGTATGTGTGCAGCTGTGTGGATGAAGGAGTGTTGGTATTTACACCTGTCTATGTCAGTGTCTATGACTACAGCATTTGTTTTAGTGTCACTCCAGGTCTGTCATTTATTGCCATGTAATTAGATATTTTAATAATACACCGATATAAACATAAGTAAAAACAATCCAATGTGTTGCCAATTCTTTTGTCTAACAACTAAACAATTAAAAGAAGTATTAATTACCTTAAATACACTTTCAAATGT